TTGTTGTTTGTGTTTGTTTTGTTGGAGTGTTTTTGGTGGGGGTTTGGTGTGGTTGTTTTTGTTGGTTTGGTTGGTTGTTTTGTTGGGTGTTGTTGGGGGGGAGTTTGGTGGTAGGTGTTGGGGTTGTATTTGTGGGGGGTTGGGTTTGGGTGGTTGTATTTGTTGGGTTTGTTTTTGGTGTGTTTGTTGTGAGTTTGGTATTATGTAGGTTTGGGTATTTTTATATGGGTGGTTTTTGTTGGTGGGTTTGGGTGGTTGTGTTTTGTGGGGTGTATGAGTGGTGGTTTTTTTTGTTTGTGTTGGTGGTGTGTGGTGGTTTGGTGGGGGTATGTTTTGGTGGGGAGTTGTTGGGGTGGTGGGGTGGGGGTGTGTTTGGTGTTTATTTTTGGTTTATGGTGGGGGTAAGGTGTGGGTGTTGGAGTTTGGGGGGTTGGGTGTGAGGGGTTGTGGGGTTGGGGGTGTTTTTTGTTTTTTGTTTTTAGGTTGGGTATGTTTATTGTTGTTGGTTTTTGGGGGGTATTTTTTGGTGGGTGTTTTGGGTTGGTGGGTGTGGGATTTTTTTGTTGGTTTGTTTAGTTGGGTTTGGGATTTAGTTGGTTTGTTTTATTGGGGTTTTTGGGTGGTTGGGGTTGTTTTAGGGTGGGGTGTATTAGTTGGGTATGTATGTTGTTTTGTGATGTGGGTGTTTGGTGTTGGTAGTTTTGGAGGGGGGTTTTTTGGTGTGGTTGTGGGTGGGGTTGAGGGTGTTGGTTGTTTGGTTGGGGTGTGGTTTTTAGGGTGGATTTTTGGTTGTTGGGTTTGTTTTTTGGTTGGTTTGGGTGTTTGGGTTGTTTGTGGTTGGGTATGTGGAGTGGTTTGTTTGGGGGGTGTTGGGGGTTTTTTTGGTTGGTTTTTTTGGAGGTGTGGGGTGTTGGGTTGGGGTGGTGTGTGGTGGGTTGTGTGTGGGGGGGTGGTGTTTTGGTGGGGGTGTGGTGGAGGGGGTTTGGTTGGGTGGTTGTGGTGTTGATGTTGTGGGGGGTTATGTATAGTAGTGGGGGGTGGTTTTTGTTGGGTTGGTTATTGGTGGGTTTTTTGTTGGGGTTTTGGTGGGGGTTGTTTTAGGTTGGGTAGTATATAGTTGTATTTTTGTTGGGGTATTGTTGTTTTTGTTGGTAGGTATTTTGTTGGGTATTATTTGTTTGGTATTATTGTTGGTATGGTATAGTTTGGTTATTAATTAGGTGGGTTGTATTTGGTTGGGTATAAGGTAGTGGGGATTAGTTGTATGTTAGTATAGGTATGGGGTTGGTTTGTAGGTTTGGGTTTTTATTAGTGTGGGGTATTATTGTTGGTTTTAGTATGTTGGGGGTTGGGGGTAAAAGGAGTGGGATGGTGTGGTCTCTGGTCTCTCTCTCTCTGGTCTCTCTCTGGTCTCTCTCTGGTCTCTCTCTGGTCTCTCTCTGGTCTCTCTCTGGTCTCTCTCTGGTCTCTCTCAGGGACCACATATCTTTCTTTCTATCTTTACTAAACTATAGGTGTTATTAGGAGATTAAAGTGACGTACCACAGCAGAGGTCTCAGAGGTCCAGATCCAGAGGTCTCAGTTCTCAGAGGTCGATCCAGGTCTCAGGTCTCAGAGGTCCAGATCCAGGTCTCAGTTCTCAGAGGTCCAGATCCAGGTCTCAGGTCTCAGTTCTCAGAGGTCTCAGATCCAGGTCTCAGGTCCAAAAGCAGTCCACTCCTGTGCTCTGTATGAAGCCGCTGCTCCAACTGTCTGTGAGTCTGAGAGAATCTGTCCTTAGTCCACACAAACACAATCATTAACCTGAGATCAGGTTTATATAGAAGGATTTCAAAGTCCATGGTTTTTATGGTGTTTATGGTTTTGTGGCACCATCGTAGCAGTTACAGAGACTGTCCAAAGTGCAGCTGGTCTCTGGTCAAGCTTGAACCTTTCTCAGGTTTAACATAAACATGTATCAAGTGTCAGACTTCTGTGACGTGAAAGTGAAATGATTCTGTGATTATTTAAAAAAGGAAAAGTTGAAGTGAAAAGTGTTTAGTTCATTAAATTCTTTAAAACGTCTCTGAGCTGAACGCCTCAGGATTCCCCCAGATGAGCTGGAGGAGGTGTCTGTGGAGGGGGAAGTCTGTGTCTCTGCTCAGACTGCTGCTCCTGTGACTCAGTACAGTTATATATGTTTTCTATTCATTCCAATAGGGATAGTACACATTTACTGTATACAAGAGGGAGCAGCGTCTGCAATCAGAGCTCTATGTCAGACTGCTGCCCCCGCCACCCGGCAACGGAAATCATGCATTCATCCACTTTTCTGTAAATGTGCCAGCTGTAGTCTCTCTGGTCTCGCTGTAGTCTCTCTGGTCTCTCTCTGGTCTCGCTGTAGTCTCTCTAGTCTCACTGTAGTCTCTCTGGTCTCACTGTAGTCTCTCTGGTCTCACTGTAGTCTCTCTGGTCTCACTGTAGTCTCTCTGGTCTCACTGTAGTCTCTCTGGTCTCACTGTAGTCTCTCTAGTCTCAATGTAGTCTCTCTGGTCTCACTGTAGTCTCTCTGGTCTCACTGTAGTCTCTCTGGTCTCACTCTAGTCTCTCTAGTCTCTCTGGTCTCACTGTAAGTAAGTAAGTAAGCTTTATTTATATACCGCCTTTTCACTGCAGATCTGAGTCTCAAAGCGGTTTACAATTGTTAATTTTGGGCACTTGTCTCTCACTCCACACAGAGATGGGAGCGGGGCCAGTACAGGAGGCACATGCCAGAACTATTGTACATGTTTTTAGTGGTAGGGGAAACCGGAGTACCCGGAGGAAACCTACGCAGACACGGGGAGAACATGCAAACTCAGAAAGGCCCTGGTCCGACCGGGATTCGAACCCAGGACCTTCTTGCTGAGAGGCGAGAGGGCTAGCCACTCAGCCACCGTGCCGCCACTGTAGTCTCACTGTAGTCTCTGGTTTCACGGTAGTCTCACTGTAGTCTCTCTGGTCTCACTGTAGTCTCTCTGTAGTCTCTGGTCTCTGGGTAGTCGCACTAGTCTCACTGTAGTCTCTCTGGTATCGCTGTAGTCTCTCTAGTCTCACTGTAGTCTCTCTGGTCTCACTGTAGTCTCTCTGGTCTGACTGTAGTCTCTCTGGTCTCACTGTAGTCTCTCTGGTCTCGCTGTAGTCTCTCTAGTCTCACTGTAGTCTCTCTGGTCTGACTGTAGTCTCTCTAGTCTCACTGTAGTCTCTCTGGTCTCACTGTAGTCTCTCTGGTCTCACTGTAGTCTCACTGGTCTCACTGTAAGTAAGTGAGTAAGTAATGTTTATTTATATACCGCCTTTCACAGACAATGGTCACAAAGCAGTTTACAATTGTTATTTTTTTGGGCATTTGTCTCTCACTCCACACAGAGATGGGAGCGGGGTCGCCGAACAGGAGGCAGACCTACTGTATTGTACATATTTTTAGTGTTAGGGGAAACCGGAGTACCTGGAGGAAACCTACGCAGACACGGGGAGAACATGCAAACTCCACTCAGAAAGGCCCTGGTCCGACCGGGATTCGAACCCAGGACCTTCTTGCTGAGAGGCGAGAGTGCTAGCCACTGCAGTCTCACTGTAGTCTCTCTGGTCTCACTGTAGTCTCTGGTCTCACTGTAGTCTCTGGTCTCACGGTAGTCTCACTGTAGTCTCACTGTAGTCTCACTTTAGTCTCTGGTCTCACTGTAGTCTCTCTGGTCTCACTGTAGTCTCTCTGTAGTCTCTGGTCTCACTGTAGTCTCTCTGGTCTCACT